TGAAAATCAATCTAATGAAGTTGTACAGCATTTTGACAACTATGTACAACGTGAAGACGCCGAACAACAATTGAAACAAGGGGTTAACTACCTCAGTAAAGCATTAGGAAAATGTTACCTGCAAAACGAAAAAACAGAAACCACTAATCTATTTGATAATGTTTTCTTAACTGAGACTGCTGTCGAAAAGAAGCTTACAAAAAGTGAGGAAGAACAAAGTGGTGATGAACAAAGTGGTGATGAACAAAGTGAGGATGAACCAAGTGAGGATGAACCAAGTGAAAATGAGCCAAGTGAAGATGAAAGAAAAGAGGATTGTTTAATAGAAGACGTCAAACAGGCTGAGTACCTTAGCTGTAAGAACAAAGACAAAGGTGTGGAAGGAAACGAACACTTTGAATACCTCGGTTATCAAGCTGAAGAAATCGAGCTAAAGGGAAATGATCAAGAGAACCAAGAACTGAGTAAAAATGATCACTATTTAGAGGACAATGACCAATACATAGAGATGATTAGTACGCTTCAAGAAAATGATGAAAAGAAAGAAGAAACTGACGATGATAAGAGTGAACACGATGATTCTGACCATGGGAACGACGAACTTTCGGAACAAAGAGAAATGTTATACCTCATGCAAAACATAAAACAGTATTCTGATATTTTGCAGCAGACGTGTCAGGAAGAAAGCTGTTCAGACAATGAAGAATATGAACATGAAAATATTGAGACTTTTGAGTATGAAGATTCTGAAGAAAACGCGCCGACCAGTTTAGAACCTGAACTACAAGTGCTCCAACACCCAAGTCTGCATCAAAATGAAACAGAAAGACAGAAGCCATACGAGAAACATTTCCAAACAGAAACTCAGCATCAACTTCCAGGGGAGGAAAACAGTGACCCCAAGGAGATCGGCAAGGGTGCAGTTCAGACAAGCAAGAAGCGGGTCAGTTTTCTGCACTCAGCAGAAGAGGATGAACTAGCTCATCGCCGCAAACTGGTTACTCTGAAGAACCAGGATTCTGAAATATTTTACACTGTGGACAGCTCGGCTTTCGAGGACATGTACTATGACGCCAAAGATGCATCTTTTACTGAAACTCAATCTGAACTAGTCGAACAGCCAGATAACTTCAACTACACAAGACAAGATCAAGTGAATGAATACTTGAACGTTGAACGTATTGAACACAATGTCCAGAGTGAAAGCTTTATGAACAACATCAACAAGACAGAGAGTAACGATGATTCAGAAAATACACGTGAGAAAGATTCTGTAATGGAAACGAACCTTATTGAAACTTCCATGGATGAAATGTACCAAACTATTGAAGAACTGAACCAAATGACAGAAAAGTTAGTATCTATGTGTGGTACAAGTGAAAACATATCCACATCAACTGAAGTACTTGTAGAACATGAAAGCAAAGAAGCCAACTGGACAGAAACTTTGAAGAAAAAATTACGTACTCAAGACGATACGGACAATCTTAAATATAATGCGGACTTAAGTGTCCAAAAGGATTTAATCCTAACAACTATTGACCACGAGGACTTAAACGAATTAATGACAGTCACTAAACCGCCAGTTAACCTTCAAGATCAAGACAAAGAATTCCAAGATAACGATTTTCATGACAAAGACTTTAAGGACAAAGAGTTCCAAGACAAAGACTTAAAGGACAAAGAAATTCAAGACAAAGACTTTAAAGACAAAGACACTGCACATGTTACTGATACAACCGAAAGCATTGGAAGACTGCACGACCATGTTGATCACGACAATGACTTATCAGAAAATAACTCTGACAGGACTTCTCAACCTGACGAGATAAACGCGCTTACTGACCGACTTGAAACTTTAACTGTCAATGATGCTGAAACAAATCAATCAACGTCAACTGATAGCCAAGTTTACACTGAACATTCCTTGACAAAGTATGCAACTGATAGCCAAGTTTACACTGATCCTTCCTTGACAAAGTATGCCATCTCAGAGTTCTCAAAAGACACAGTGGACATTAGAGATGTGTCCTGCATCGAAAGTGAATCTTCAAAGACAACTGAGACAACCCAAGAGGCACAAACCACAACAAGCTCTCTAGTGGAGCAAGAAAGTTTCAGAGGTGATAACATTTTAAAACAAGTTCATAACGACAAAACTATTTATTAATTGTTATGGACTTTATAAGGTCTATTAATTGTTATTGACTTTATAAGGTCTATTAATTGTTATGGACTTTATAAGGTCTATTAATTGTTATTGACTTTATAAGGTCTATTAATTGTTATGGACTTTATAAGGTCTATTAATTGTTATGGACTTTATAAGGTCTATTAATTGTTATTGACTTTATAAGGTCTATTAATTGTTATGGACTTTATAAGGTCTATTAATTGTTATTGACTTTATAAGGTCTATTAATTGTTATGGACTTTATAAGGTCTATTAATTGTTATTGACTTTAAAAGGTCTATTAATTGTTATTGACTTTATAAGGTCTATTAATTGTTATTGACTTTATAAGGTCTATTAATTGTTATGGACTGTATAAGGTCTATTAATTGTTATGGACTTTATAAGGTCTATTAATTGTTATGGACTTAATAAGGTCTTCGTGTAGGTCTTATGTTCTACTATACCAAGTTTGCTAGAATGATTGACCTTTAAACTTGTAGATGCCGTATTAGGGAATAGGAAGTTGAAGTTTATGATTTCCTTTCGTGCAACGTTTGATCAGCAGTATTGAAATTGTCATGACAAATGGTTGTCCAGAAACTGGTATCTAATTCTTACAGCTGTGGTGCTATCTGTACACGAAAAGGCCTGCAACTTCAACTGCACTTCGCTTTAGATGTAGTACGTTTAACATTATAGGGTAATCTGAATATGGCCTTCCTCCTCAACCAGTAATGTTTCTGTGTCTTATATTGATCAGACTCTAATGACTACACAGCTCAGCTGGCGGAAGTTCACTCCATGATGACGTCATTCTCCCGACGTGTCAGCGGTGACATTGACCTTTGTCAGCTAGATGTTATTGAAGCTATAGACTTCCTGGTAGAAAAGATGGCGTACGAATTACAGCAAGGGACCTTATCTACGTCAGAGGTCATGCAGGAGTAAGTGTTTTTTAGAATTATCCTTTTAAAACATATTTTTTTCATAACCAATTAATTTAAGTTATAAATGCAAATCATAGATTTATTATATTTCACATTACTCAAAATTCAACAAACATTTTCGCAATAACTGAAGCAATATTCACAACAATCAACTTTGTTCCATTTTCTAGAATTTCCAATCTGACAACTGGTCGCCAAAGACAACCAGGATCCCTTTCAGAGCCATCCTCTTACCAGACCAGTCGTGAAAGCAGCCCAAGAAAGACAGAGGCAGTTGAGACATCCAGAGCACCAAGCACATCCAAAGACGACGGTTCTCATATAAACAGGAACCAGCTGGAGAAAGAAATCTATGAAATCCTGGACGAGATCATGACATTGTTAGGGGCCGTGTCTCCAGCTACAGAAAAGTCAAGCGACCTTGAACACAGCACTGATGGCAGTGAGACTTCGGACTCAACAAGCGGAGGCAACATCGCAAAAGAAAGATGCACACAAGAGAAACCAGTTGCTGCAGAAGATCAGGAGACGTCTAAAGAAACTGCAGTACCTTGCAACACACCAATGAATGTGTCTCTCATAGAGTCTGAGATAGGTGCGGGTCAATTAGAGGACGATCTTTTCATTCAAGAAGACCACGAATCGCTGCTAAAACAGTCGGAAACTGAGTCAGAGGTTACTTCTGATGTGTTCATTGATAATGAAGATGTATTAAACGGTGAGTTCCACACGTTGACAATAGAGATACTCGTAAGTGATAACACTAACAAGGACCGCCGCGAATCTGAAATCGACAGGACAGAACAGTTTTTAGTTCTTGATGCAATCAAAAGAGCCGTTCTTTCTGAAACAGGTCAACTAGAAATACTAACATCAGATCGAAACTACAATATCAACTTGTGCAACATATCAGAGATAGACAGAGTGGAGTCATTTCTGACTAAGGAAATAGATACTGTGACAAATTTTCTGCCTGATGAACTTTTGCTTTCAAGCAGATTGAAAGATTCCTCACAAAATGAAAGTGAACAGAACTTAGACAGTCACGTTGCACCTTTTGGTGCTTCGAGCGCCGATGACAAACAAAGTAGCACTGTAGTTGGTGAATGTTTAGTAGAGAATGACTTTGAAGAAAAGTTTAGAGACGAGACTGTTGCATGCTATACAGAAGATCATACATCTGAAGTTTGTGGCAATAACTTTACTCTGCATGACCGTTGGGTGGACACTAAATTGCATGGTGTGAGCACAGTACCCAAAAAGTGTGTAGATAGCAGCACATCTGACGACGATTTTGAGATCATTCCTGATTTTGAATTTTCTACTAATGTTTCAGAGACATTATCAGACCAAGTTTCTGCCATTACGAGCACAATGTTTGAATCCGGTTTACAAGAGAGCGGTCAAAGAGCTGAAGTGGATGCCGAACAGTCCGTTTTGTTCAGGCTACAAACACTATATTACGTTGACAAACATGGTAACAGATTGCTGACTGAAGACTCCACTACACAACATACCATTCCAGTTTCCAGGGAAGACGTTGAGGTCCAAGACGACGACTTTGTCATGATAGATGGTGGTGTCTTAGCGTACCAGCCAATGCATATTGATGACCAATTTCTTTGCGAATCTGGGAATGAAAACGAACTAGAGCACGACGATTTACAAGCAGACTTTGATGATCGCTTGGCAGACGAATTAGCTGAGAATATAGTCAATGAAGTATTAGATTCACAAGAACACCGAAGTCTTGTTCACAGTTGGCAGCATGTAGGTGCCGCAGAAAATGAAACAATAAATGATATATCATTCAATACAATCTCAATGTTTGAAACAGAAGATGTCAGTGCCACAAAAGAAAATGTTACTCCAACAGACGATGTTACTGAAACAAAAGAAGATATAATTCGAACAGAATATGTCAGTACCACAACAGAAGAATATACTCCAACAAAAGATGTCAATGACACAAAAGATGTAACTACAATTGAAGATGTTGCTGAACCAGAAGATCTTACTGGAAGAAAAGATGTCTTTTCATCCGAAAATGTTATTGACTTAAAAGATGTTACTCCAACAGAAGATATTACAGAACAAGATAGCATTGTCACTACAGAAGCTGTCAGTGAAGAAGAAAAAGATAGAATTGTAGCTTCAGAAGATGTCATTGAAACAGAACAGGATGATGCTCTAGCTACAGAAGATGCCATTGAAATAGAACAGGATGACGCTGTAGCTACAGAAAATGTCATTGAAGTAGAACAGGATTATGCTCTAGCTACAGAAGATGTCATTGAAGCAGAACAAGATGATGCTCTAGCTACAGAAGATGTCATTGAAGAAGAAGAAGCTGATGCTCTAGCTACAGAAGATTTCATTGAAGCAGAACAAGATGATGCTCTAGCTACAGAAGATGTCATTGAAGCAGAAAAAGATGAGGTTCTAGCTACAAAAGATGTCATTGAATCAGAACAAGATGATGTTCAAGTTACAGAAGATGTCATTGAAGCAGAACAAGATTACATTGTAGTTACAGAAGATATTAGTGAAGCAGAACAAGATTACATTGTAGCTACAGAAGATATTAGTGAAGCAGAACAAGATGACATTGTAGCTACAGAAGATGACAGTGATACAGAACAAGATAGCGTAGCAACTAAAGATGTAATTAAAGAAGATAAATACATAGCTACAGCATGTGCCATTGAAGCAGAACAGAATGATGCTGAAGCTACAGAAGATGTTATTGTAGCAGAACAAGATGATGTTCTAGCGACAGAAGAAGTCTTTGACTCAAAACAAGATGATGTTCAAGATACAGAAGATGTCATTGAAGCAGAAAAAGAGGATGCTTTTGCTACAGAAGATGTCATTGAAGCAGAACAGAATGATGCTCTAGCTACTAAGGATGTCTGTGAAGTAGAACAGGATGTAGCTGTAGCTACAGAAGATGTCATTGAAGCAAAACAAGATGATGCTCTAGCTACAGAAGATGTCATTGAAGAAGAAGAAGCTGATGCTCTAGCTACAGAAGATTTAATTGAAGCAGAACAAGATGATGCTCTAGCTACAGAAGATGTCATTGAAGCAGAAAAAGATGAGGTTCTAGCTACAAAAGATGTCATTGAATCAGAACAAGATGATGTTCAAGTTACAGAAGATGCCATTGAATCAGAACAAGATTACATTGTAGCTACAGAAGATGACAGTGATAAAGAACAAGATTACATTGTAGCTACAGAAGATATTAGTGAAGCAGAACAAGATGGCATTGTAGCTACAGAAGATGACAGTGATAAAGAACAAGATAGCGTTGTGGCAACTAAAGATGTAATTAAAGAAGATAAATACATAGCTACAGCATGTGCCATTGAAGCAGAACAGAATGATGTTCTAGCTACAGAAGATGTTATTGTAGCAGAACAAGATGATGTTCTAGCTAAAGAAGAAGTCATTGACTCAAAACAAGATGATGTTCAAGATAGTGAAGATGTCATTAAAGCAGAAAAAGAGGATGCTTTTGCTACTGAAGATTTAATTGAAGCAGCACAAGATGATGCTCTAGCTACAGAAGATGTCATTGAAGAAGAACAGGATATAGCTGTAGCTACAGAAGATGTCATAGAAGCAGAACAGGATATAGCTGTAGCTAAAGAAGATGTCATTGAAGCAGAACAGGATATAGCTGTAGCTACAGAAGATGTCAAGGAAGCAGAACAAGATGATGTTCAAGTTGCAGAAGATGTCATTGAAACAGAACAAGATGATGCTCTTGCTACAGAAGATGTCATTGAAGCAGAACAGGATATAGCTGTAGCTACAGAAGATGTCATTGAAGCAAAACAAGATGATGCTCTAGCTACAGAAGATGTCATTGAAGAAGAAGAAGCTGATGCTCTAGCTACAGAAGATTTCATTGATGAGGTTCTAGCTACAAAAGATGTCATTGAATCGGAACATGATGATGTTCTAGCTACAGAAAATGACATTGAATCAGAACTAGATGATGATTTAGCTACAGAAGATGTCATTGAAGTAGAACAAGATGATGTTCTAGCTACAGAAAATGAAATTAAAGCAGAACAAGATGATATTCTAGCTACAGAAGATGTCATTGATGCCGAACAGGATGTAGCTGTAGCTACAGAAGATGGCATTAAAGCAGAACAAGATGATGTTCTAGCTACAAAAGAATTCAGTGAATCAGAACAAGATGATGTTCAAGTTACAGAAGATGTCATTAAAGCAGAACAAGATTACATTGTAGCTACAGAAGATATTAGTGAAGCAGAACAAGATTACATTGTAGCTACAGAAGATATTAGTGAAGCAGAACAAGATGGCATTGTAGCTACAGAAGATGACAGTGATACAGAACAAGATAGCGTAGCAACTAAAGATGTAATTAAAGACGATAAATACATAGCTACAGCATGTGCCATTGAAGCAGAACAGAATGATGCTCTAGCTACAGAAGATGTTAATGTAGCAGAACAAGATGATGTTCAAGATACAGAAGATGTCATTGAAGCAGAAAAAGATGATGCTTTTGCTACAGAAGATGTCATTGAAGCAGAACAAGATGATGTTCAAGTTGCAGAAGATGTCATTGTAACAGAACAGAATGATGCTCTAGCTACTGAAGATATCTGTGAAGCAGAACAGGATGGAGCTGTAGCTACAGAAGATGTCATTGAAGCACAACAAGATTACATTGTAGCTACAGAAGATATTAGTGAAGCAGAACATTATGGCATTGTAGCTACAGAAGATATTAATAAAGCAGAACAAGATGGCATTGTAGCTACAGAAGATGACAATGATACAGAACAAGATAGCGTTGTAACAACTAAAGATGTAATTAAAGACGATAAATACATAGCTACAGCATGTGCCATTGAAGCAGAACAGAATGATGTTCTTGCTACAGAAGATGTTATTGTAGCAGAACAAGATGACGTTCTAGCTACAGAAGAAGTCATCGACTCAAAACAAAATGATGTTCAAGCTACAAAAGAATTCATTGAATCAGAACAAGATGATGTTCAAGTTACAGAAGATGTCATTGAAACAGAACAAGATGATGCTCTAGCTACAAAAGATGTCATTGAAGAAGAACAGAATGATGCTCTAGCTACAGAAGATGTCATTGAAGCAGAACAGGATGTAGATGTTGCTACAGAAGATGTCATTCAAGCAAAACAAGTTGATGCTCTAGCTACAGAAGATGTCATTGAAGCAGAACAGGATATAGCTGTAGCTACAGAAGATGTCATAGAAGCAGAACAGGATATAGCTGTAGCTAAAGAAGATGTCATTGAAGCAGAACAGGATATAGCTGTAGCTACAGAAGATGTCAAGGAAGCAGAACAAGATGATGTTCAAGTTGCAGAAGATGTCATTGAAACAGAACAAGATGATGCTCTTGCTACAGAAGATGTCATTGAAGCAGAACAAGATGAGGTTCTAGCTACAAAAGATGTCATTGAATCACAACATGATGATGTTCTAGCTACAAAAAATGACATTGAATCAGAACAAGATGATGATTTAGCTACAGAAGATGTCATTGAAGCAGAACAAGATTACATTGTAGCTATAGAAGATATTAGTGAAGCAGAACAAGATTATGCTAAAGCTAAGGAAGATGTCATTGAATCAGAACAAGATGATGTTCTAGCTACAGAAGATGTCATTGAAGCAGAACAAGATGATGCTCTAGCTACAGAAGATATCATTGAAGCAGAACAGAATATAGCTGTAGCTAAAGAAGATGTCATTAAAGCAGATCAGTATATAGCTGTAGCTAAAGAAGATGTCATTGAAGCAGAACAGGATATAGCTGTAGCTACAGAAGATGTCATTGAAGCAGAACAAGATGATGTTCAAGTTGCAGAAGATGTCATTGAAACAGAACAAGATGATGCTCTTACTACAGAAGATGTCATTGAAGCAGAACAAGATGAGGATCTAGCTACAAAAGATGTCATTGAATCAGAACATGATGATGTTCTAGCTACAGAAGATGTCATTGAAGCACAACAGGATGTAGCTGTAGCTACAGAAGATGGCATTAAAGCAGAAAAAGATGATTCTTTTACTACAGAAGATGTCATTGAAGAAGCACAAGATGATGCTCTAGCTACAGAAGATGTCATTGAAGCAGCACAAGATGATGCTCTAGCTACAGAAGATGTCATTGAAGCAGAACAGAATGATGCTCTAGCTACTGAAGATATCTGTGAAGCAGAACAGGATGTAGCTGTAGCTACAGAAGATGTCATTGAAGCACAACAAGATTACATTGTAGCTACAGAAGATATTAGTGAAGCAGAACAAGATTACATTGTAGCAACAGAAGATATTAGTAATGCAGAACATGATGGCATTGTAGCTACAGAAGATATTAGTAAAGCAGAACAAGATGGCATTGTAGCTACAGAAGATGACAGTGATAAAGAACAAGATAGCGTTGTAGCAACTAAAGATGTAATTAAAGACGATAAATACATAGCTACAGCATGTGCCATTGAAGCAGAACAGAATGATGTTCTAGCTACAGAAGATGTTATTGTATCAGAACAAGATGATGTTCTAGATACAGAAGAAGTCATCGACTCAAAACAAGATGATGTTCAAGCTACAAAAGAATTCATTGAATCAGAACAAGATGATGTTCAAGTTACAGAAGATGTCATTGAAACAGAACAAGATGATGCTCTAGCTACAGAAGATGTCATTGAAGCAGAACAAGATGATGCTCTAGCTACAGAAGATGTCATTGAAGCAGAACAAGATGATGCTCTTGCTACAGAAGATGTCATTGAAGCAGAACAAGATTACATTGTAGCCACAAAAGATTACAGTGATAAAAAACAATTTGGCATTGTAGCAACTAAAGATGTCATTAAAGAAGATAAATACATAGCTACAGAAGATGTTATTGTAGCAGAACAAGATGATGTTCTAGCTACAAAAGAATTCATTGAATCAGAACAAGATGATGTTCAAGTTACAGAAGATGTCATTGAAGCAGCACAAGATTATGCTCTAGCTACAAAAGATGTCATTGAAGCAGAACAGAATGATGCTCTAGCTACTGAAGAGGTCTGTGAAGCAGAACAGGAGGTAGCTGTAGCTACAGAAGATGTCATTGAAGCAAAACAAGATTATGCTATAGCTAAGGAAGATGTCATTGAATCAGAACACGATGATGTTCTAGCTACAGAAGATGTCATTGAAGCAGAACAAGATGATGCTCTAGCTACAGAAGATGTCATTGAAGAAGAACAGGATATAGCTGTAGCTAAAGAAGATGTCATTGAAGCAGAACAGGATATAGCTGTAGCTACAGAAGATTTCAGTGAAGCAGAACAGGATATAGCTGTAGCTACAGAAGATGTCATTGAAGCAGAACAAGATTACATTGTAGCTACTGAAGATAGTAGTGAAGCAGAAGAAGAAGCAGAACAAGATGATGATCTAACTATAAAAGATGTCATTGAAGCACAACAAGATGATGTTCTAGCTACAGAAGATGACATTGAATCAGAAAAAGATGATGATCTATCTACAGAAGAAGTCATTGAATCAGAACAAGATGATGTTCTAGCTACAGAAGATGTCATTGAAGCAAAACAAGACGATGTTCTAGCTACAGAAGATGACATTGAATCAGAAAAAGATGATGATCTATCTACAGAAGAAGTCATTGAATCAGAACAAGATGATGTTCTAGCTACAGAAGATGTCATTGAAGCAAAACAAAATAATGCTCTATCTACAAAAGCTGTCAGTGAAGCAGAACAAGATAGCATTGTATCTACAGACAATGTCAGTGATGCAGAGCAAAATAACATTATAGCTACTGAAGATGTCATTGAAGCAAAACAAGATGATGTTCTAGCTACAGAACATGTCATTGAAGCAGGACAAGATGATGCTCTAGCTACAGAAGATGTCATTGAAGCAAAACAAGATGATGCTCTAGCTACAGAAGATGTCATTGAAGCAGAACAGGATGATGCTGTAGCTACAGAAGATGTTAATGAAACAAAACAAGATGATGTTCTAGTTATAGAAGATGTTATTGCAGAACAAGATAAAATTGTAGCTTCAGCAGATGTCAGTGAAGTAAAGCAAGATAGCATTGTAGCTACAGAAGATGTCATTGACATTGATGTTACTGATATAGACGATGTTACTGAAACAAAAGAAGATGTCAGTGACTCAAAAGAAGAAATTACTCCAACAAAAGATGTCCATAACACAAAAGATATTACTACAATTGAAGGTGTTACTGAAACAGATGATGTTACTATAAGAAAAGATGTTATTTCCTCCGAAAATGCTAGTAACTTAAAAGAAGATATTTCAACAAAAGATTTTACAGAACAAGATATTATTCTAGCTACAAAAGCTGTTATTCAAGAAGATCAAGACAGTATTCTAGCTACAGAATATGTCAGTGATGCAGAGCAAGATAACATGTTAGCTACAGAGGATGTGATTGAAGTAGAACAGGGTAGCGTTGAAGCCACAGACAAAGAAACAGAAAAATATGACCATGCAGCTAAAGAAGCTGTCAGTGAAGCAGAGCAACATAGCAATGTTGCCACAGACAATGTCATTGAAATAGAAAAAGATAGCATAGTAGCTACAGAAAATGTCATTGAAACAGAACAGGAAGATGCTAATGAAGCAGAACAAGATAGCAATGTAGCTATAAAAGCTGTCATGGAAGAAGAGCAAGATAGCATTGTAGCTAGTGAAGATGTCATAGAAGCAGAACAGGAAGCTGCTAGTGAAAGAGAGCATGATAGTATTGTAGCTGCAAATGATCTTATTAAAGAAGAGCAAGATAGCGTTGCAACTACTGAAACTTTCAGTGAAGCTGAACAAGATAACATCGTACAGATAGACGATGTCAGTGAAACAGAGCAAGAAAACATTGTAGCTACAGAAGATGTCATTGAAGAAGAGCAAGATAGTGTTGTAGCAACACTGGACAGTGATGAAGAAACGGACAATATTGTAACAGCAGATGTTAGTAAAACAGAGGATGATAACATTGTAGACACAGAAGATGTTAGTGAATCAGAGGATGATAAAATTCTAGACACAGAAGATGTAACTGAGATTTCATTTGAAGATATTGAAATGAAAGATAACTATGCAGAAACTATGTGCGTAAGTATTACAAAAGATGATGTGCACAGATCTTCTCGAGACAATGACGAATACTTGCCTGAGGTCCAGTCACAAGAAATTAAAACTGGTTCTTTCACAGACACTATTCCACAGGAAGAATCTACACCTGCAGCAGTGAAAAGCAAAACTAAAAATGAAACTTGCACTGATAAAGTTGATGACGACGTGTCAGATGATGAAGATGATGATGATGATGAAGATGAATTTCACTTTGAAGAAAGTGAAGACGTAGAAGATATTCTAGATTTCCAAAACCCTCAGTATCGCGAGCGTCTAACGAACGAAGTTGCCTCGGCAATCTCAAAAGAAATAGTTTTGATGGCTGAAGTGGAAGTGGCCATGGAAGATCTGACAAATCCTAAAGATTCACCGCTAAGCCCCATGGAGGAGAGCTTGTGTTATGAATCATTTGCTAAATATGATAAAGGTGAAACTGGTCAAGTTAAAGAGAACACTATGACATGCGAAAACATTGCTGATGTCCAAACAGAAAATCTTGGGAAAGAAACAAAATCTGTGATTGCTTGTGACTTGAGTTTATTAAAAAGTCAAGCACAAGAAATCCATACAGAAACATACACTGATGATAATACGACGAAGCTAAATGATGATCTTAATTATGGTGAGCAGGAAATTATCCAAGACAAGCAAATTACTACTGAACATCTTCCAAATATCAATGAAGACTTGCAGAATGCTATGGAGGAGTTCAACCGAGATTTGTCATACTATAAAAACCAAGAAACACAAGAAATACGACAATCGCCTAAGCGAATACCTTCCCTATATGAAAGATCAATGTCAGGTCAATTATCTCGAGCCATGAGCGACGATCCTTGCAAATGGAAGTCTTCCTTTGATCCCGAAGAAGATCTTATCATCGATGATGTCATTCTACAATTTAAATCTGAAGAGGCCGAAGAGATTCGTATATCAAAAGACGCAAAGCTTCGTGGGTGCGTTGTTGTCAATGCTGAATGTCGAGAGGTGGATGAAGAAACTATCGACTATGAAGAGTCGTGCGCATCATCCAACGAATTTCAAGAATCGGACCAACCTCTTTCTGAATCTAAAAAGTCAGGCGAAACTTCGGCTGGGGAACAGGAATCATTTGACTTGTCCCATAGATCTCAAGAGCTAACAGGGGTTTCCGATGACTTCATGGGTCACTTCAAAGACTCCGTGCTCATTCAACAATGTCAAGATATAATCATCTGTGTTGATGAAGCCACAGATGACACAGAACAGATACCCCAGATGGAATCAGGTATAACAAATAATCCCAAGGACGATGTCTCTCTGGGAACTTTAATTGACCAACCACCTCAACAGAAAAGGTCAAGGTCCAAGAGAAGACGTTTACAGCGAAAAAGAAGGAAGATGGCTGCGGAGGAAGCGGAAAGTGACCTAACCAATGATCAAACGTCTGACCCGCAAGAGGCTAAGTCCGAAGTGGACAGCGAGAATAAAAGCATCCCGTCCACACCGAAACTTGAGAAGAAGAAGAAAAAGACGAAGAAACTGACAAGACACCAAATGTCACAAAGCACAGACTCAGAAGCGGGCGTCATGGATCCAGACGACGAGATCGTACAAGATGCCAGAGAAAGCTACAAGCGTGAAGTAGCATTGGGCGAGAGGGTCTACTCGGACGCAGACAGCGAGAGTGAAATACTTTTTTCAGCCCAGTCGCCCACCCACTCGAAAAATGAACCAACAACACAGAATAGACAAACTCCAGTTGTTCTCCAATTCCCAGATGAAGAGCTAACCAGTGGAGCCCAGATTACACTCGAACAAGACGACGAGAGCGACTCCGCGGAAATGGAAGAAACTCAATTCTCAAGGGCGGACAGCCGGCGCAAAGATTCAGATCACAAGAAAAGCTCAGAAGCTGGCCCAGATCATGGACAACTTCTTGCTCCAGGTGCACAGAAAGGTCGCGCTCGATCAAGATCCCCCGCACCTCCAAGTTTGAGACGTATTACTGGACAGCCGCGTAGACGCCCTCGCAAGAATATAGTGGTTGTTCCAAACCCTCACCCATTTTGAAACTCGACTGAAGGAGAAACAAGCACCAATCTTGTCAAGACACTCCATACAAGCCTCATTGTGTCAGGGGAAAGACCAAAATCTAGACAGTGCATGAAATATTAGTATCACAGTCCTGTCAAAGCTTGTATTAGAAATACTAAACATTTTTAAAAAATAGACAAAATCGAGAGACGTACAAACGAATAGGAAAAATCACCACTGAAATACTATTTATCTAAAATATAGAGTTTGCATTAATAAATATATATATCACGTCATTAATGTAGAAATAATGCACGTTTAGTAATTGTACCTAAATGCATATACTTTTTTTTTTCTAAATCGCAAAGGTTATTAGCATAAACTTTTATAGAAAACAAGCCTTATTATAGATATTATATATATATTTTTTAAAAGTTGTTATGAAATAATCAGAATATTTAACTATTGTAAACAAAATTTGTTGCTTATATTTTTATTATCCAAATTGTCATTTTTATTTTATTTCATTGGTTTTCTATAGTCATTGTCCATACTAAGATACTTATTGTGAAGTAGTTTTCTATTATGGCTCTAGGGGGAAAAGGAAAGTCCATGTATCATTTAACAATAGAGTGCGATTTAATTTGCTCATTTTAAACAAAACAACTATTGTCCACCTCGATTATTGTATCCACCAGAGCAACCCCCAAATGTTACAACTTAAGTTTGCTGTGGTATTTTGGTGTATACTGGTAAGACTATCATGCGCCAATCATTGTGTTTATACTTCAGCCGCCATATTTTTTGAGTAGTTTAGTGTATGTAATGATCGCTATAGATCTAGCAACAACAAAAAAATGTGTATGTATTTGTTAATGTACTGTACAACACACGAGTGTTAACACATTTCTTGTACACAAACATCAAACAAAACCTTCAATATGTGTTTAAACCAAGCCTGTTGTTTAAAATATACCCAGTCGTTCTATGACCACACAGTATTTCCTGTTTCCTATTCCTTGTAATATACTTAAGAGTCTTATTTATAAAACAATTTGTGTTTTTGTTTGTATTTCATAAATATTTACAATGCAAAGAAACTGAACGTAACCAATAAATCCTATTTATTATCAAACTTTTACTATCTATTGGGAACTCGCCTTACGACGTATGGTGCCATGTAAATACATATTCAGCTAGTTATTACGTCAAGACTGCTGGGGATCCATTGTTGTGAGGCTTGAATTCAGACAAATTAACCTATTTATTTCGCCACGTACATTTCGTGTCGAAAACAAAATCAATCAACAAGTCACTATTATTGT